GAAAGTAACATCGCGTGGAAGGTTTAACGTTTCTGAACAGGGAAAGGTGTAGAATAGTATTTGATATATACGTATATAGCAGAAATGAAACGTATATTTTAGAACTATGATTGTTAATAATTTTTTAACGAAGGACGAGCGACGGGAATGGTCAATGACCTTGACCTTCTTGAGGGTCAAGGTCAAGGTCAAGGTCACTCGGAAGTCATTTGAGGTCGACTGTGTAAAGCGAAACATTTACCCAGTAGGTTTCACTACTGTTAAAAATAACGCTTAATATCTCAAAAACTATAAGAGTCCTCCACCTAGTTGTTAAGGCAAAGTTGCTCAGAATCATGACCTTGACAATATATGTCAAGGTCAAGGTCATCGGAGCTGGCTCTTCTATAGTGCATAATTACCGAAAGCTTTTTACCTTTACTATCCGTAATGCGTACAGAAGAAATTGAATGTTCAGAAGAAAATAAAACTATTGTTGAATGCGAAACAACATCTATTTCAGACACATCAGATGTTGCCGACAGCCTACATATAGATACAAATAAGATAGTGAATAATGTTAAAAAGAAGATAAAAACTAAAATAAACTGCGTCCAATGTATTGCAATATTAGAAGATGAAAAAACAATACAAATACTCGAATGTGTTGTCGAATTTGCTGAAAAGCACTTTTATTTTTTCCATGAAACAAAGATCAAACAGAAGCTTATAAAAATAATAAGTCAAGAGACATTATTTATAGTAAATTTCCACTGTACTGATGTACAAAATATTGTACTTGATATGCTTGCACATTATTTTATTTTAGAATGGTGTAATATAATAAATAAAATCTTGAATAGGCAAATAAAAGACGACTCAAGTAACATATTTATGTATCACAGCGCATATATGATGTCATTAAAATATCGTAGGAAGACAGGTAAAACCTATTATAATTATAATTTATAAACAATTAAAAAATTAAGAAAATTATTTATTTATAAACAATTTACACAAATTATTATAGCATGTACTAAATATAATTTCAATATATATTTTTGTTGCAGTGTATTCTGGAAAAACATCAGAAAGAAACACCAATATACTATAAATTATATTAATATATATTAATATATAATAAATGTATAAAATATAATAAAATAAAGGTTAAGAATGAAACAATATGTTATAATATTTTTTTAGGTAATAACCGTAAAGTCGCTCTCTCGTTCACTCGCACAGTTGCTCTCTCGTTCACTCGCACAGTCGCTTTCTCACTCACTTGAACAATCGCTCTCAATCGCTCTCTCGTTCACTCGCACAGTCGCTCTCTCGCTCACTCGCACAGTCGCTCTCTCGCTCACTCGCACAGTCGCTTTCTCACTCACTCACTTACACACTAGAAAGATTAGTTCCCGTCCGTGAGCCCTGTCACTCAGTGAGGGCGCTGCAAACCGTGGTACATCGAGAATAATGGGAGTTTGTAACCCCTGGGATACCTCTGATATAAGGAGTGAGATAATCAAAGAAAATGGTTTTAATCACTGCCTCGTCACAACGTTTGTCGGAATTTAAATTTCGTAGTCGATTGAGGATCTGCGACGGTTTCCCAGGCGTTAAAACTTGGCCTTTGATCAATTGGCGGAGCTGACTTTCAGCCGACGCAGAGAAACTTTCTATTATGCGTAGTTTTAACTTAGAATATGGTTCATCGGGATCGGGTTGCAAAATCAAATCTCTACAACAGGTAATTACCTCTGTGTCTAAAGCCGCGATCACGTAGTGTGCCATAGTCATTTGATCTGTAATTCGCGCCGTTTGAAAGGTTGCCTCGACTTGAATGAACCATATTTGCGGATCATTTATTAAGAAAGGCGGAATTTTTGGAATTCTATACGAATCGACGCGTGGGACATTAGTCTGGGGTTGCTGCAGCAGGGCCTGCAATTGCACTACCTGCTCCTGCAACTCTTCAAAGGAAGGGGGTGGCGTGCTGAGTTATCGTTCGATCGCACGCGCACCGTTTATGCAATAAGTTACTCGAACAAAATACAATTTTAGGTACACGGAGAGGAGACTCACGCGCCACAAAGCTAGCGCGCTGATTACGAGTCGACGCAAAAAAAAAATCCTTCTCCCTTTTGTTTATATAGTTTTTATGTTACCACAAGGAAAGAGACACACAACGAATTCCAAGATGTCGTCCGGTC